TTAAAGAAATTTAAGCCTTTTTTGGATGCGGATCTTAAAAAAATCCAGGCCTAATGCGGGTCTTAAAAAAATCCAGGCCTAATGCGGGTCTTAAAAAAATCCAGGCCTAATGCGGGTCTTACGCCAGAATGAAAAAAAATATTTTTAAAAAATCTTCGCCTGAATGAACAAAATATTTTTAAAAAATCTACGTCTGTGGACAGTTGCAACACGTAATGCGATGGAGAACTATCGGGAGAAAAGGAGAGAGAAGAAACGTATTTTCAGAAAAAAGAAGAAAGAACAAGAAAAACGCGAGCGTGAGCAAATCGAGATGTACAGGAGTCAGAATGAAGTCTGAAAATTCTATCAACGGGTAAAACACCAAACCGATGGTTTTGGTAACCTGGTAACAGTTATAGACAGCGTGTTGAGGATCTGGAAGGAGCATTTTGAAAAACTTCTGGTAGCAAATAGTAGCGGAGAAGTGGATAACCCAGAACCAATAATAGTTGACGGTATAAAGTGTATACCACCTAGCCAAGATGAAATCAGAATAGTAATCAATCGGCTGAAGAATAATAAAGCAGCAGGTACCGATGGGTTACAAGCCCAACTATTCAAGACTGGTGTTCAGATGCTGGTAAGGAGCATGCATCAGCTGATTAGTACAATTTGGCTAGAAGAATACATGCCCAATGATTGGAACCTCAGCATCCTGTGTCCAGTGCACAAAAAAGGAGACAAGACGATATGTGCCAACTATAGAGGAATAAGTCTCCTTCCCATCGCATATAAAGTGCTATCCAGCGTACTGTGTGAACGACTGAAGCCAATGGTCAATGACATCATCGGACCATACCAATGCGGCTTCAGACCTGGCAAATCCACCATTGACCAAATGTTCATTCTGCGCCGAAAAACCCACGAAAAACACATCGACACATTCTACCTATTCGTCGACTATAAAGCCGCATTCGACAGCCCTATCCGTTCAGAGATGGTTTAAAGCCATGACTACATTCGGTATTCCTGCAAAATTAATATGGCTATGCAAGATAACTTTAAGTGGCACAAGGTCAGCAGTTAAAGTCGGAAAGAACCTATCGGAGCCCTTCAATACTGAACGAGGAGTCAGACAAGGTGACAGTTTGTCGTGTAATATCTTTAACATCCTGCTGGGAAAGGTCATAAGAGACGCAAAGGTGAACAAAAATGGCGCTCTGTACACCAAACAACACATGTTACTCGCCTACGCCGATGACATCGATATAATGGGTCGAACATTGTGAGCGTAACATCTACCTTTGAACAAATTGAGAATGAGTCTGTCAAAGTGGGTCTGGCTGTACACGGCGAGAAGACCAAGCTGATAGTATCAACGCGCAAAACGTCCAGTAGACTCGGAGTTAAAGATTTTATATACCTTGGTACCGCCATAAATGAAACGAATGACATCATTTTTGAAATTCGGAGAAGGATTGTGATGACCAACAGATGCTACTATGGTCTAAGTTAGCAGTTTTGAAACAAGGCCTCCTCCCGCCATACCAAACGCACACTTTACAAGACGCTGATACTACCTGTGCTGTTATATGGATCTGAAGCATGGGTACTAGCGCAAGCAGATGAGGCAGCTCTTGCAGTGTTTGAGAGAAAAATTCTCCGAAAAATCTATGGACCGATCTGCGTTGACGGTTAATATCGCTGTCGAATGGACCATGAGTTGTACCAGCTATTCTCGGACATCGACATTGTAAGACGTATTAAGCTGCAGCGACTACGTTGGCTAGGTCATGTTGTGAGAATGGATGAAGATGCCCCAGCCCAAAAGGCAGATAAAAGCGAACCAGCTTATGGTTCACGCAGAAGGGTAAGGTCACGAATAAGGTGGAAAGATCAAGTGGAAGACAACAATGCCCAAAATGGTCTTTCAAATTGGAAAAAAATGCGCAAAAGATCGACGCGCCTGGAAATCTTTTCTAAGCTCGGCTTATGGAACGAAAGTTCTGTCACAAACCAGCTAAGTAAGTAAGTTTTGGTTGGCTCCCTGAAAACTTAGTTTTGAAAATCCAAGCCTAAGTTGGGCCCTGAAAAATAATTTAAAAAATCCATGCCCGCTTTGGGTTCCTTAAAAAAAATTTTAAATATCCATGCCCATTTTCTAAGTCCCCGCCTTTTGCGGTTCCTTCAAAAAATATTCTTTAAAAAAATCCAGTTTTTTATTTCTCCTCAATTATCTATGACCGTTTTCCGTAGACTCCCCTATTTTTGCACATTACCCTAATAAAGATATAAATTTTCCAATAAATAGCTAATTTAATAATAAATGTCACCTAATCACTTCATTAGGCAGCTATTCTGTTGCCCTGAATACGCAACAAACCTCCTGACTGACACCCTTAAATATCCAGCAGATTATAACACCTTCTTCTAATCCTATTCGAAATGTAATGAATATCATCGTTACACACACACACAGGGTGTGTAACGATATGTGTGTCATCGCACTGCGTTAGTGTAAGTGTATCCAAAACTATGAAGGTCAATCTACCCTATGCTCGGAGGGAGAGGCGCGCCAGTGATGAATTTCTATTTTTTTCTTTGCTGGTTAAATGTAATTCATTTTTGTTTTGTGGGTGCTGCTCTCTATGTGCGGAAGGAAATCAATTTAAGGTAAAAAAAACACAAAAAAATTCTCAAGCATACTTTTGGGCGTTAAGGGAAAATTTGTGTTGCATTTAGATTTTCTTTGCCTTTTTAGGTTTTCATATTTTCTTGCAAACAATTTTTCATTATATTTTTGAATTTTTTTCTTCACTTCCACTTATTTTCTTTTTTGGTAATAGGCCATTTTCTTATTTTTTTTCCAAATTTGTATGATACTATTTCCTCTTTGCACACATGCATATACAAATTATAACACACACACACCGATACACACGAACGCTTCTTTATATGTTAATTTGATTGTTTTCCCATTTTTTTGATTTTCCTATTTCCTTTGATTTCGGTTAGTATTTATTTTGGCAACCCGATACCGCAACCGTTTTCTGCCATAGCTTAAATTGTACTGCTGAGTTTTTAGGTGGGTCGGTCGGTTGTTCCAGCAACGTTCTTCTTCTTCTTGTTCTACGTTTACTTGTGTTTATGCTCTGCTTTATTTTCATTTCTTTTTTTCTCTTCTTCCTCTGGTTCTTCTCCGTCATGTCAACTATTTTTACACAAACCAAATATTAATAATCCCCGGTCTCTGCATTCCTCCTCTCCATCTTCACGTTTAACATTTTTATGGTAAAAATATCGTTGCTGTAACATGTTCATGTAAGAAAAACCTTGATAGCAATCCATACTTTGTTTAGTTAACGTAGTTTGGTTGTTGTTATTGTTCTTGTACTGCTGCTCTTGTGCAAAATTCTTCTCACGGCAGTTGTAGTTGTTGTTGTTGCTGCTGTGGTGTTTCCTTATACCGCCATTTATTTTCATTGTCTACACACGATACGGAACCGGTGGCGCATTTTTTCTCATCAAGGTTTTCCCCCCGATGTGTAGTTTGTGGGCAATTACTGCTTGGTATTAAGGCGAAGGAGAAGAGGTACATATATGAGCATTCGTTTATTACTGTCAAAGTTTTGCATAGTTGTGTGCCGTAGTTGCCTTCGCTGTACTCTCTCTCTCTCTTTCAAAGGGTCATTCATATACAGTTAGTTGGGCAAATCATGTTGTTTATGTTTTTTCTTCATGAGTTCCTCTTCATAAGCAAATGGATGGGTGTTTGTGTGAGAGCCGGCATATTAACTTTATTGATAGCATGTTTTGTTTGCGCATGTTTGGTTTTTCTTTTAACTGTCATAACAATTTGGGGGAATTTGTGGCACTCAGCTGTTGCATTAATGCTTTTGTAAGAGAGTGTTTCAATTGTAATAGATTGTGATTTAAGTAACGGAAATTAAATGAACGTATTTCAACGGATAAAAATCATAGCATACTTTTAGGCGCACATGAATTATTTGAAAATGAAAATTGTGACAATTTTCAAAAGACAATTTAGAGGGATTGGCTATAAATTTATTATAGTGATGCAACAACCTACGAAGGCGTGGATTTTTTTGAATATTTTTTAAAACTTCCACAACAGGCGTGGATTTTTTAAAAATATTTCTAAAACAACCACATCAGGAGTGGATTTTAAAAGCATATATTTTTATTTTCCCATCGAGAAGTACATACAGTGAGTCACAGTCAAAAGTATGATCTAAGTTTTGCAATGAAAAGGAAAGCCAGGAGAAGAACCTACGTGCCCACCATTATGCGACGCCTTTTGCCGTTGGTTAAGCGGCTCATCAGACATATTGGGCAATGTGGCTTTACAAAGGTCGTACGTTGATAAGTTGTGTTTATTCCGGCCTGATGCGAAACTTGCATATGCGAATTAAATTCAAATTTGTCAAAGTTCGACATTTGTCTTCAATGTAACAATGTAAATGTTTTTTGATCGGTATGAACAAAACTTAGACTTTCCAACTTTAACGTCCTGATTTTTATGTCTAGACTGATGATAACAACCTCTAGGACTTATTATTAAATATCGTTTTTGAATTAAAATCCGTTTTTCAGGTATGTGAATCTTTTATGGATTTATCGTATGTATGTTATTGACCAATTTTTGTAATTTTGTTAATCATTGATACTTTCTTGTTGGGCTTTTTTGGTCAGGTGTTTGATGAAAATAAAAACTGGCTTTTATTTCATATTTTGCTCGACGTTTCGTTGGCTTTTTTCCAACATTTTCAAGAGCGTTTTTTATTGATCTATTGACAAAATAAAAATTATAATTTCTTTTCAATATATATTGCACTTATTTTTTAACTTACTTTAATTATTTTTCATTTTGTTTATTATTTACTTAAATTAAAAAAACGGGACTCCACAACATTTAAATAAAATAAATAATAAATTAAATAATAAAATAAATAAAATCACAGTTAATAAATAAATAAATATATCACAGAACTGGTGTTTTAGGTTATTGCAATTGAATACTGAAGCTTAGTATTGTCTTTGTCTTCCTTCGTGTTTATGGATCTGTCAATTCGTTGTTGTATTCTTAGGCTTTCTAGTGTGTATCTTTTGTTTTCGTTTTTAGCTTTGTCTAAGATTCTCACATTCTTGAAATCAGCTGTGTGGCCAGTTTCTTTAATGTGCTGTGAGAGTGCTGTTTTTTCCGTTCCTTTGTTGATGTCATTTTGATGTTCCTTCATTCTCACACCTAACATTCGTTTAGTTGTACCCACATACACTTTCCCGCACTTCTCTGTTTTGCTGCCTTCACATATTACTTCATACACAACATTGTTTTCTTTTTGCTTGTCTGCTTTTTGTTTTGTTCGTTTAAATATCGTTTGTAGTGTGCTGTTTGATCTGTGTGCTAATGTTGTTGTTGTATCTCTTATGATGTTTCTCAAGTTTTTTGTCTCCGTCAAGTTTGGTATATAGGGTACACTGATAAAATTGATGGTTTGTGTGTCGGATTTTGGGGTGTCTTGTTTTTTATTATTATATTCATATATTATGTCGTCTATTAATCGTTGAGGATAGCTGTTTTTCTTCAGTATTCCTGTGTACTTTTTTATGTTTTTCCTTAAGTATTGTTCGTCCGTGATGTATTTTATTTTCTTTAGGAGGCTTCTTGCAGTATTCACTTTCATACTTCTTGGTTGCGTCGAGTGATAGTTTATAATGCGTCCCGATGATGTATCTTTGGTGTACCATTCAGTTTGTAATTTATTGTCATTCCTTATTATTAGTACGTCTAAATATGGTAATTTATTATTGACCTCTTTTTCTATCGTAAATTGAATTTTGTTATGATATTTATTTAGAAGAGTCAGAATATTTGTTTCGTCGTGTTTGTTTATAATGGCAAATACATCATCCACATATTTCGTCAATAGTTTTATTTGTATGTCCTTCGCTTTTAGTTCTTCGATAACGTCGTCCAAAAGTGTGTCTAGTACGATGTCTGCTATCGTAGGCGAGAGGGGGTTGCCCATTGGCATACCATATGTTTGATGGTAAACTTTGTCATTGCATTTGAAGTAATTGTTATCTTTCAGAACGAAGTTAAGTATTTTTAAGAAGGTTTGTTTTGGAATCTGTGTTTTTTCTTGCAGGAATTTCCATTTGTCGAGAATATTTTTAATCGCTAGGTGTATAGGTATATTTGTGAATAGAGATACAACGTCAAATGATACCATAATGTCGTCCTTATCCAATTTAATGTCATTTAGTTTATCTTTCAGGTCCATGCAATTTTTTATGTTATATGTAGGTGATATTATTGTCCTAAGTAGTTTTCCGACGTATTGCGCCAGATTGTAGCAGGGTACATTCGTAGATGCTGCTATCGGTCTTAGTGGAGTATTTTCTTTGTGGATCTTTGGTAATCCGTAAAGGTCTGGCGCTGATGCAGATATGCTAGTTAGTTTAGATTTTTCCCATTTTGATATTAATTTGTTTTTGTGCAAATCATTTACTAAATTGTTGTTCATTCTTTGTAGTTTTTCAGTAGGGTCTTCTCTAATTGGTTTATATGTTGTTTTGTCGTCAAGTAAATTGTTAAGTTTATATCTATACTGTTCTTTGTACATTACGACTGTTTTGTTGCCTTTATCTGCGGATGTGATGATTATTTTCTCCTCGATTTCTCTTATAAAATTCTTGGTGTCTTCAAACATAGCTAATATGAATTTTTCCTTGTCGTTGTTGTAGATATTCCGCTTGTAGTTTGATATTCTGTTTGCTATTTTTGCTCTGTTAATTTCTTTTTCAGTATCGTCTTTAATTGTTTGTACCCATTGTTCCATATCTGCTATTAGTGGAATTGGTTTGAAGTTCTTTGATGTTATAGGCAGTGCGAATTTCTTGCCCATGGATAATATCCATTTGTTCTCCTTCGTAAATTCTATGTCGGTATAGTTTATGAACCAGTCTTCATTCAGTATCAGATTGTATTCATTAAATTTGTTATTTTTTAGCTTATTAAACTTGGATAAGTGTGTCTGTTTTGATTTTCTTTTTATGTTGTAATATTTATTCCATTGCTCGTCTTTGAATTTTTTAAGTTCTGTTTCGTCCAGTGTATTTTGCATTATATTTTCTAACTGTGATATTCTCTGTTTTGTTCTTGTTATTTTTATATGTGTTTCTCTTATTTCTATGTTGAGTAGTTTTGTTTTGAAATTGCTTGTTACTTTGTCTGCTTCTTGTTGTGTTGTTATGTATGAGAATAACGATCTTGCATGTCTGAGAGAGTGCGATATGTGTTGTGGTGATATCCCATATCTTCTGCATACTTGCAAGAAGTTTGATCTCTCCATCTCCTTTGCAAGTTTCTCTATTGATCTGCTGTACTGCTTTAGTAATTGTGTTGTTTCTTTGTTGTACTTGTATTTAATGTGTTGAAAGAAATTTCTCATTTTTACTTTGTTGTGTTGTTACTTTATATTGCTTCTTTATATTCGGCTGGCCCTCCGATGGTTTTCTTATGTATGTTATTGACCAATTTTTGTAATTTTATTAATCATTTTTTGATGGGCTCTGCGGTAAACATTACTTTAGTTACAGCTTTCTTCAGAAATCTTTTTTGATTTATAAGATCCAATTTTGAGAATTCGAAGAGATTTTACCCAAATTACGCTCTCTATCTCTATGCCATCTTTCTTCCAACGCGTCATTATCCATCACTTTTTTCTTGTTATTCCGACGTTTCTTATGTCTTTCTTTTTCAAGACGATTTTTTTTAATTCAGTTGGATCTTTTTTCAACTCAAATCGAAAATTTTGCATTCTATTTTTGAATTCCATTGCTTAAGTAGTGATATTGATATTTTGAAATTAATTAAAAACGACCTAAATATCCAAACTTCCTAAATACCACAAAACTACACACCGACAGTGATTCTAAACCCAAGTCTCAGGATTCCAACTTCACAATTCAAATTGTACCAAATTTTGTACACAGTAGTACCAATTCCAAAACTTCCTATATACCCAATCCCACACCTCCACAGTGATACAAAATCCATGTTAAAGGATTCCAACACTACCTATTCACCCACAATTCAAATTGTACAAAATTTAGTACACAATAGTACCAATTTCCAAAACTTCCTACATACGCCAATCCTACACTTCCACAGTGATACTAAATCAAAATTTCATGCTTTCAACTCTATCGCTTCACCCACAATTTAAATTGTACCAAATTTAGTACACATTGGTACAAAATTTCTAAAACTTCCTACATATTTCAATCTTACTTTTGAAGTCGATTTATACATGTCCGTCCGTCCGTCTGTCCATGTTAAATTGTAAACAAAGTACAAGTCGCATTTATGATCCGAATTGGATGAAATTTGGCATAGGTCACTTATTTGGCCCAAATACAAACCCTATTGAAATTGGAAAAAATCGGTCCAGATTTAGATATAGCTCCCATACATATTTTCGTCCGATTTAATGTAAATGGTGTACCAATGTCCCTATATATCGTTCGATTTGCACGAAATTTGGCATAGGGTAATGAATTATGTCTAGAATTATGTGTGTTAAGTTTCCTGGAAATCGATCCAGATTTAGATATAGCTCCCATATATATTTTCGTCCGATTTTATGTAAATGGTGCACCAAAGACCCTATATATCTTTCGATTTGCACGAAATTTGACATAGCGTACTAAATTAAGGCTAGAATGACGTGTGCATAGTTTCGTGAAAATCGGTTCAGATTTAGATATAGCTCCCATATATATTTTCATCCGATTTTAAGTAATAGGTGCACCAAAATCTCTGAAAATCATTCGATTTGCACGAAAGTTGTCATAGCGTACTGAATTAAGGCTAGAATCACGTGTGCTAAGTTTCGTGAAAATTGTTTCAGATTTAGATTAGCTCACATATATATTTTCGTCCGATTTTATGTAATTGGTGCACCAAAGTCTCTATATATCTTTCGATTTGCACGAATTTTGGCATAGGGTACTGAATTAAATCTAGAATTATGTTGCTAAGCTTCGTAAAAATATCCATAGCTAGGCCGATTGAGACAACGTACTGATTTAATGTGAATTAGTCTCTGGTAAGTTTACCTGAAATCGGTTCAGATATATTCTACATACAGTGGTGGTCACAGAATTAAAACATTTACTGTGGTAAACATTTTTTGATCAGCCCTCGATTCGTTTGAAGTATTTTTGAAATTTTTTTAATTCAGAACACTTCAATATACTTCACTTAAGAGATTTAGTGTGAAAATAGAAAATTATTGCATGCAATTTTTCCATAAGTAACGGTTTTTATGAAAATACATCGACTTTGAAGTGGCCATATAATTAAAACATTGTGTGATTTTTTTACTTTACTGAATTTTTTGAAAACATTTTTAAAAAAGCTCGTTAATTTAGTTAAATTATGTAAACTAAGCACCGAAAAAATCATTTACAGATAAAAATTTTTGAAAAAATCTGTCAAATCTATCAAAATTGCCAAAAATTTGTACAGTACACTTTACATTCAGAAAATCACCCTTATTATAGAAACTAAAGGTCCGAATGCACCAGAAATTGCTAGAATTAGTAGAACACAATAAATAATTCTCAAAATAAATAAATATTTGAAATAAAAACTCAAAAAATGGGAATTAACCTAAAGGAACGATTCAAATTCGATAGCCTTTATTAAAGAAGGCCAGCATATGTTTGCAGTATGTGAGAAAATATCTATCGATATTGGCATTTATTATATCAAATCAATTGTTCGAGTAGTACAGAATATATTTTATCAAAAAATATATCAGTCACAACAGAACGAACAGAGATCAACGCCTATGTTGACGAGTAAAAGTTTCTGGAACACAGTACCATTTTTGATGTTCAACTCTTGACCCTTAAAATCTATTGAACATGACAATATTTTTCCAAAATAATATTTTTTGCATCGAACAACTTCCACTTAAACTATTTTAGTATCAATGAAGGAAAAATTTTACAGTTTGACAAATATTTGAAGTCTAGTGTTGAACATCAAAAATGCTGCTGTGTGCCAGAAAATTTTACTCGTCAACATAGGCGTTGATCTCTATTCGTTCTGTTGTGACTGATATATTTTTCGATAAAATATATTCTCTACTACTCGAACAATCGATTTGATATAATAAATGCCAATATCGATAGATATTTTCTCACATACTGCAAACATATGCTGGCCTTCTTTAATAAAGGCTATCGAATTTGAATCGTTCCTTTAGGTTAATTCCCATTTTTTGAGTTTTTATTTCAAATATTTATTTATTTTGAGAATTATTTATTGTGTTCTACTAATTCTAGCAATTTCTGGTGCATTCGGACCTTTATTTTCTATAATAAGGGTGATTTTCTGAATGTAAAGTGTACTGTACAAATTTTTTTGGCAATTTTGAAAGATTTTACAGATTTTTTCAAAAAATTTTATCTGTAAATGATTTTTTCGGTGCTTAGTTTACATAATTTAACTAAATTAACTAGCTTTATTAAAAATATTTTCAAAAAAATGCAGTAAAGTAAAAAATCACACAATGTTTTATTTATGTGGCCACTTCAAAGTCGATGTATTTTCATAAAAACCGTTATTTATGGAAAAATTGCATGCAATAATTTTCTATTTTCACACTAAATATCTTAAGTGCAGTATATCGAAGTGTTCTGAATTAAAAAAATTTCAAAAATACTTCAAACGAATCGAGGGCTGATCAAAAAATGTTTACCACAGTAAATGTTTTAATTCTGTGACCACCACTGTATGTTATGATACATATGTAGAATATACCCAAAGTGGTGAAGGGTATCATATAGTCGGCCCAGTCCGACTTTACTACTTCTTTACATTTTTTTTGTCAAACACCACATATTTTCTATGTGTCCACTATGGGTTAAATGTTTGTTCACAATCTCATACATATCTAAAAATGCCGATAACCACAAGCACAAAAAAAAAACAAAAACAATTTAAGTGCTTGTCAATTGGCAAATGTTTTGATTCTAACAGGCAAAAACAACAACAACAAAACCACATTTGCTCTTATCAATTTCATTTACTTTTACTTTTTTGCACTCATTTTTGGGGTGCTCTCTCTCGTTGGTCTCTCTGCGTGAATGCAAATTCATTGTCGGCAAATCAGACACTCTCACTGAACTGCACCCCCACATATAATACAAAAACAACAAAAGTAAAACAAAAGAGCACCACTCGGTTGTTACAGTGATGGCTAAATAAAATGAAACTTTCTCGAAGAAAACATGGAAAATATGTAGGTGTTTGAAGGAGGAAAGAAAGATGAATAATAAAGAAATATGAAAAATGGGAAAATGAAGGAATTGAGGGGGCTAATAATGTGTATGAAAAATAAAAATATAGATACAATGCGCGAAATTCTTAACGTTGGCGTTGAATTGTGTCTGGCTGGCTGACTGGTAACATAAGCAATGGATATGAACGCACAAACTCACTCACGCCATGGTGGGGGTCCATTTGTTCGTTTCGTACATACACACAAACACCCATAAGACAGACCGGCGCATTGATGTTAGTAGTAGTGGTGTTTCTCGTTGACTTGTGTTGATAATGACGTTGGCTTCACACAGCAGCAGCAACAACAACAACAGCAGCAGAACGAACATCATCGTCATTATCATCATCGGCAAACAGATGCAGGCTTTCCATATGACTGAAAGACGTTGCGGCTATTCAGTTACTCGCCGCTGCTCGTAAACGAAACAACAGCATTTCTTGCTCTCCAACTCGACAATAACGGGTCAACGTGAACAAAAAGAAAAAAGCAAAGAGAAACAAGAACGATTTTGTAACCGCCAAGCATAAAAAAACTCATTCAGTGCAAAT